ACATTATCTCCCGGCGCATTCGTCAAACTCATCTGCATCGTGATCTCTCCCTCCTTGGTCTTGCCCACGCCCTCAATCACATCGAAGCGCTGCAACAGTCTCACCAACACATAGCCCGTCTCCGTCAGCGCAAACTGCTGCCCAATGCAGATCCGCGGCCCACCGTTAAACGGCAGGTACTCCCATCCGACCTTGCGCTCGTTCCAGCGATCCGGACGGAACTCGTCAGCATCGGCGCCCCACAGATCCGGCCGACGGTGCATCACGTAGGTGCTGTAGAAGACGGGCTGGCCCTTCTTGACGTAGACGGGGTCCGTGCCCGCGGGACCACCGCCCGTGGGGAGGGTGGTGTTGCGGACGGCCGTGCGGCGGTTACCAGGGACAATGGGATAGAGACGGAGGACTTCATTGAGGAAGTTCTGCAGGGGACGGCAGGACTTGAGGTTGGCGAAGGTGATGTCATGAGGGGAGGAGTAGGAGCCGAATTCCGCGAGGATGGTGGCGCGCAGGGAGGTGAAGTAGTCTGGGTGACGGGCGAGGAAGAGGATGCACCACGACAGGAGAGAGGCAGTGGTATCGCGACCGGCGAGGAGGATGTTCAGGAGCTGGGAGCGCAGTTCGACGGGGTCGCGGGTGGCTTCGGCCAGACCGTGCAGGAAGACGTAGTTGCCGGTGGGTTTCTTCTCCGGGTCGGAGTTGAGGGCGGCGGAGACGAAGCGGTCGACGTAGGCGTGCACGGCTTTGTTGATGGCGCGGCTTTCCTTGTTGTTCACGATCCAGTAGAGCTTCTCGAAGCGAGCGCGTTGGGCGGAGTACCATTGACCGCGGTCGAACTGGGCAGGGAAGTTATCCTGGGGAATGGCGCCGTTGCTGAGGGCGGCGGCTTGGCTCTGGACACTCTCGCCGAAGAGGAACTCGGTCGCGGTGTCCATGGTCAGGCGGAAGAAGATGGTCTGGATGTCGGTGGCGGCGGTCCAGCCGGTGGTGGCGTCGACGGGCATGGCTCTCATGGCGACTTGGACGTGACGTTCCTCGAGATCGAGGTCGCTGATCTGGTCGCGGGTGAACTGGGGACGGAGGAGAGCGCGAGAGCGAGACCAGTGGTCGCCATCGGCAGTGAACTGGATACGAGTTAGAAGAGTGATGATCTTGAATTGGGAGTAAAGTGGTGGACGTACAATACCGCTGCCTAGCAGCCAGTGCATAGCGTTGCGACGGGACTGACCCAGCTCAAAGTCCTTAAACTGAGTGGCCAACAAAGCCTGGACGTTCTTGGGATCGCAAGTGCTGATGACATCGGTGCCCAGCTGACGGAAGTGGAAAGTAGTGGTATAGCGATTCTCGCGGGCGGACATGATGTCAACCCGGCGGCGGGTTATTGTGGGCACCTGGCGAGCCTTGTCCATAGCCAATGCCTCCTTCAGGGTGTTGAGGCCCAGCAGATCACCGGGGTATGAGGGAATACTCCCGCAGTTCCATTTACGAGCATTTTGCGCATGTTGCCAGCGAGAAAGCAGCACATATAGAAGGTAGAGGATGGGGGAGGCCGTCGCGACAAACAAAAGTGTCGACATGGCGAAGGTTGAGGTGGGGGAAGAGAGGGACAGAAAGATGAAGTGGGAGTGAGGAGAAAAAGCCAAAAACTGGCGAGGCGAAGAGGGGTTGATGGAAGTAAATAAATGTACCGGGCGGGAAGTTAGATTCATTTATGTTTCAACTACTAAAGTGAATACGATGGAGTATCAGGATGGCCAGCAAACCGAGTGGCCGGCAACCGAGGCAGATCGGACCATCCTCATGATAGAGAAAGTAAAAAAGCAGTATGGACACATCGGACCGTTGGAAAGAAACTTGACATGATTAGTCGTGGCAGTGGAGTACCGGCGACCCCTAGTCTGAGACCTCGGAGCTTCCAACTGGATGGAAGCAGGAGGCCCGCCATGACAGGCTTCAGGGGTGGAGAAAAGTATCTGGTTTGACCCGGACATATCGCCATCTGTTCATTCTTATTACCGTTGAGTCTGCACAAGCATTCCCCTGGCCTATAGTGCACCACCACTATACCTTTCCTCTAAAACGAACAGGGCCAACCGGATTCCAGGCTTACGGAAAAGATGCATCCTGGAGGATGATTAGTCTGCAGCCACACTGGTTGGTGGCAACATCACGGCTTTGCATCTACTTTGTACTTAGTATGTAGTCTACTTTGCAGTTTGCACACTTTATTAGCCTCGATGGCATTGGGTGTTCCCGGCCCCATCTTAGGGCACACTCCACTGCGTCATTCTCAACCATAACAATCTCATTATGTGTTCAGTCATCCATTCCCCTTACCAGTATTATGATGATAGTTCACTACGTTAACTGGTTTTTCACGTTCTGTGGAATGACTCACTCATACTCTGGTTCCAGGGGCACTGAACCAAGAACTCAACCACATGCTGTTCCCATGCCAGATCCGAGGCAGGTTTCACCTACAGAATTAGGCAAATGCAAGTGTTTCTGCCCGCGCTCGACTTCCCAATGCGGTATCTGTGCGTGCCGCTCATTTCGGTCGCCCTGCCGGCACTTTATCTCTGTCCAGCAACACTTCCGATCTCTAATTATGCTAATTTAGAACGTTAGTCACTAAAATCGCTCCATGCTAAATCGACTGGCTGTAATGGTCTCCCCCCACTACACTTTCCGCCGCACCAATCCACGGAAGAAGTCAAAACTGTTACTGTCGCTCTGCAGCTGCCACACCCGGCCCGTCGGCCGGTCATCCCAACCCAGTTCCTCTGCCAGCAGCAGCCCGTAATCCCGCGTGATCCCCTTAATGCGCGCGCGCACACCCCCCTCTTCCTCCAACGTCACCACCTGGTGCATGTGCAGCCAGTCTGCGTAATACATTTCTTCGAATCCCCGATCGAACCCGGCCCGCAGGAACCGCGTATACAGGTCCTCAAACGTCGTCAGAATGCGCGCCAGCAGCTTCTCCAGTGTGATCGGGGCGGCCCGGGGCCCAAGGAACCGCGCCGCCAGCGCCGTCAACGACGTCGTAGGCGATGCGTTCGTTGCGTTGATGCCAATGCCCACGACCGAGATGTACTCGTTCGCGCAGTAATGCGAGTTCACCAGGATGCCGCAGATTTTCGAGTACTGCTTCTTCTCCGGGTGCTCCGGGTCCAGTGCATCTGTCGGCTGATTAGCATTGTCCCAATCCCTCGATCAGATCGTGAGAAAGGATCACTTACACACGTCATTTGGCCACTTCAGCTTGACCGGTAACTCCGAATATCCGACGTCGTAGTTCTTGATTCCCTGCACCACCGCCATCGCCGCCAAATACTGGATGAACACCACTGGTGCTGACTGGATCTTCTCGAGCGGGTGGCGCAGCACCGTTGAGAATATCAGCGCTCCGGCCGGCGACACCCAGACGTTCGATCCGCGGCCGCGGCCTGCCACCTGGGTCGTAGCGCTGGCGGTGAAGCCGTTGGGCAGCTTGCGCAGCAGCTTGGGGTTTCTGACCGGTCAGTCGCGTCTCGCTTCTCTCATCGGACAGGTCTACTTACTTTTCCAAGATCGTGTTCGTGCTGGTGACGACCTCGCCATACACGAGGTGGGAGCCAAACTCTGATGCACCCTCGCGGGACTGCGATTGGTACTGGTGGAGGTTGGAGTAGAAGGCATGGTGATTGAAGTAGGGCGTCAGCTTGGATGATGGCACGTCGTCGTGCACCACCAGTCGCTTGACGATGGCATTGTAATCCACAATACCCTCCGTAGACTGCGATGACGCTGGAAGAGAGTCCTCCAGCTGGCTCAGGTTCCACGCGCCGGGTCTCTCAATCCGGAACGTGTCATTCTCATCCTTCAGGATCTCCTCATTGCCATCCTTGGTGATGATCTCCTGCCATGACGCCACCAGATCGGCCGTCTCGGCGGGCTCCTGCGAGGACAGATGCAGCGACGACAGCGACGGCACGGTGGTCGTGCTCTGCGTCACCTGCAAGCCCAGCTTGACCAAACATGCCTTGAGGAAGTCCGTGCGCGCCTTGTCATCAGCCTCCAGCGCCTCCACGACCTTTGCATATTCGGGGCCACCGGCTTTTATATCCAGGTTTGCAGCTGCGAACCTACCAACCATCAGCACACATCACCTAGACTTGTAACCACAGAGAACATAGAAATAACTCACTCCGGATGCGGTCCCGTAAGAACAACCTTCCCCTCCCCAACGCGACAAAACACCACGGCGGCCTTCCCCTCCCCAGAATCAACATTCAAGTCCTCCTCAAAGCTCGCCAGCACCTCCACTCCCTTATCAGCCAAGGTCGGCGCATCCACAAACACCCCACCACCGTTGTAGTAGCACCTGAATCGCTCCGGCACGATTCCCGCACTTAGGATATCTTTATTCACCGAAATCTCCGCGGCCCTCGCCCCCGCCTCACTATGATAGACGAACCCCGCGAACGCTCCTCCGCGACATGTCCCCGGGTAGAAGGCCAGTTCGCGCTCTCCGATAACCTGAAGTGTTTTATCGCCGACTTCGAATTCACAGCGTCGGGAACCATAGTACCCGCCCGCGCAGAAGCCGAGGTAAGCGCCGCCGCGCTTCACAAATTGTTCGATGCGGCGGTTGCCGGGGCCATTGAGAACGCGACCGTAGCCTAGATCAGCGCCGCCGGGAATGACAAGGAGAGCGCAAGTTGCGGTCCAGGGTTCGCGGAGGAGGGCGTCGGAGGTGACGGGAATGACGGCGTAGTGGGGGGCTAGAAGGCGGCGGAGGGAGTAGAGGGTGTGGCGGACGGATTCGATGGTGGTTCCATTGCCTGTAAATCAAGTATGTTATAGTGAGTAGACTGTAGTGTATGATATTGGTTGAGTGACAGTCAATGGGATCGTGGATGGCGAAGCGGGGAGAATAGAGGGGAGAGTGACGCACCGGAATAGACCAGAACGTTGACCTTTTTGCCGGTCATATTGGGGGTCGCCATTTTGCGGCAACTACCTTGCAACTCTCTCGGAGCAACCACTCAAGCACAAGCAATCAAGCAGTCAAGCAAGCAAGCACAATGTCGAACCAGGAGAAAAGGGAGAACCCGCCCGTGGAGGTGGAGGAAGACGACGACGAGCCGGATGAATGGTGAGTTGTTGGGATGCGAAGATCGGAGGAAGGGAAAAGAGTTGGTTGAGCTGACAGTCCATCCAGGGACAAGCGGATCTTCAGCACCGGCTGTGCAGGTACATTCCCATCTTTTATTCCCTATTCATGAATAGCTGCTAAGAAACAACTCCAGCGGAGCAAATGAAAATGAACGACTGCTGGTTCGAAAAGAAAGACTGGCGCCAGTGCCAGAGTGAGGTATAATTATTCCATCTCATCCATTATCATCTCGCAACCCTCACTCACCAAGTTGCGCATCAGATGGAAACCTTCCGCGAATGCTGGAAACGCCAGGGCAACGACGAGCGCACACAGACCAAGGATGCTTAACTGATACCGATACTACAGACAATTTGTAACAATAGAATAATACTAGAATCTTCACTCCAAAAATACTCAATTGCTCTATCATCACGTGACACTATACAGCTCTGACTTCATTTCTCTTCCCGCTGCATCTTCCCACCACATCCCCAACCACAACACCCCTCCACAGCCCTCTACAATGTCCCTCCCACTTTTAACGCGCTCCCTGCGCGGTCCCCAACTCAGCAAAACAGTCCGCTACTCCCTCACCACCACCACCCGCTACCAATCCACCACCACCACCAACAACAACACCGCGAAACCCGCCACCACCTCCACAACATCAACAACACCCAAACCCACCACCACAACATCTACCTCCTCCTCCTCCTCCCCCTCCACAAAAACAACTCCCACCCTAAAAGACCTCCTCGACACGCCCCCCTCACCCACAAACCCAACCGAAGACCGCATCGACTGGACGCGCTCCTTCCACGGGCTCAGCGCAACCCCCTTCCCAAAAGAATGCGCCGATATCCTCCTCGCCCCGACGGACCCCGAAGAAGTCGAAATCAAACCCGACGGCATCCTCTACCTGCCCGAGATCAAGTACCGCCGGATACTGAATAAGGCGTTTGGACCTGGTGGATGGGGTCTTGTGCCGAGGAGTGAGAGTATCGTTACGCCGAAGATGGTCACGAGGGAGTATGCGCTTGTTTGCAATGGAAGGTATGTATTCCATTTTCTTTTCTCGCCGGGGGGGGTGTTTGTGTGTGATATGGGTATGGGAAGTGGTGATAGGCTAATTCGGTTATTCTCTGGTATAGGCTTGTTTCAGTGGCTCGCGGCGAACAGGATTACTTCTCCCCGGATGGAATCCCCACGGCTACGGAGGGATGTCGGTCGAATGCGTTGGTGCGGTGTTGTAAGGATCTAGGCATTGCGAGTGAGTTGTGGGATCCTAGGTGGATTCGCAAGTTCAAGGCGCAGTATACCCGGGAGGCGTTTGTGGAGCATGTGGTGAATAAACGAAAGACGAAGATTTGGGTCAGGAAGGATGATACCGTTGGGTATCCATGGAAGGAGACTAAGTTTTAGTCTCTCTTTCTCCTTCCATACATCTTAAATTCTATTTCTATGTGGGGAGCAAGTCTCATTATGGAATGAATACGTGATACACTAAATTATGTATAACAGGTCAATGTACGATATCATTGCGAATTACATGCTAATAGATCAGTCCACTCATAAAATACTAATAATACATCATATGCAACAATCTAAGTGTCGTTTTTTTTTGCAAGGAAAAGAAGAAAAGAAGAAATCATCATCACTCATGGCTACTGGTTACCCGCTCCCTCGTACGGCCGTCGCGGCACATATCGTCCTGGCTCGGTTTCTGTCAGGCGTGTCGAATGGTGCTCCCGTCCGTCTGGCGTCTGCTGCTCGTGTATCGACGGAAGCTCGAACGGCTGGTTCGGGTCGTAGGGGTCCTCCGTTGGGTCGTAGTATTGTCCCGGGTAGTTGTAGTACTCGGGCGGCTGCTGAGGCGGCTGGGACATGGCGGCCCCCGCGAGAGGCTGGGGCACTGCGACCTGGGGCAATGTGGGCTGCGCCTCCTGGCGATGACGGGGAGGGACTGGTTCAGAGAGCACCGGGACATCGCCTCGAGGGGCAGCCACGGGCTGGGGCTCGAGTTCAGGCTCGACCTGTGAGGTGCGGCCCTCCTTGCGACGACCCGTCGATGGTTCGCGAGTCATCAGTCCGTAGGTCACGTTGAGTTGGCGCTCCTGACCGGGGGACCCCACCGGGGTCTGGTAGTGGTCGACTTCATGACCGTCGCGGGAGCCATCTTGCGACCGGGCTGCGTGCTCTGCGGTGAGACCTTCACTGTAGGAGCTGGAGGCGCCCATGCCACGACGTTGCAGCGACTGAGGGGAGTTGCCGAGGTCGAAGCCAGTCGAGCGGGATTCGGTGTAAGAGACGCCAGCGGTGGTGTTAGCCCGACGCATGCCTTCGCTGGCGATGGAAACCTGGCGGACGGGGAGAGTTTGGTCTTCGTGTCCAGCATCCGACTTGTTGTCATCCTTCTCAGTCTTGTCATCGCCGTCGTCGCTGGCGCCTGGGGCGCGAATAGGTACCTTGCGCACGGCGGAAATCAGCGCGCACATAAACTTCGAGCGACGGGCAGCTCGGACGGCTTCGTTCGACCAGTTGGACTTGTGGCAGATCAAGACACTCAGCTCCATCTTGTCCATGTCGCCCAGACCAACCACATCAATGGTGACCTCTGGTTGGAAGTCGCGGCAGTTGTCCTTGTCGCGCACGAAGCTCTCCATCTCCTCCTGGAGAAGCTGGACGTTCGAAAAGGTGGTCTCGAAGCTAACGGGGACGGTGAGGCGCTCATGCATGGCATTGGCACGGGTGAAGTTGTCAATCCATAGGGTGTTAAGGACGACGTTCGGAACCTGCGTGATGCGATGGTCGTTGACATTTCGGAACACGGTGAAGAGCAATGAGATGCGCTCGACAAAGTACGGCTTGTCGCTGATTTCCACACGGTCGCCCACATCAAAGGGATGCTTGACGAAGAGGAAGATACACGAACCCAGCACTTCCTGAGCGGTGGTCGAGAAGACGAAACTGAGAGAGAGCAGAGAAGTGGCACCCGCGGCGATAACGGTGCCGAAGCCGCTTGTCACGAAAGAAACAAAGACCAGAATAGCGATAATACCCGCCACGGTCAGCAAGAGGTTGTCCAGAACGTGGATCGCCTGGTCAACATCGTGGAGACTGTTGTTAAGGGACTTTCTCAAGCGGCGGACTTCACCGATGGCCAAGATCATCTCTTCCAAGCTGATGTCCCCGTTGCCGTCGCGATCCAGCATGTGGAAACATTCCTCGGCTTCAGCCTCCATGCCAGCTCCCAGGACCTCACAAATATCGTCAAAGTACAGAGCATCGCGGCCTTCAATGACAAAAGACATCCAAATTCTGCGTGCGAGCGCTTCAGACGTCCGTCTGTGTTCCAGAGCCTGAGTGACGACGGACCGAGTGGAAGTCGGGTTGAAAACTTGCTTGCCAGTCAATTCATGGGCCACGTCGCCAAAAGCCGCCGTGACTTTGTTGCCGAACTGGTGGACATTCTGGCCCACGCCCCGGATAAGGCGCAGAGGCGCTGATGAGCTGCCGGTGCGGGTCTTGACGGCTGCGGAGCGAAGAATAGAGTCGGAAATGGCGGCGTCTTCCTCTTGGAATTCTTTGCAGTACATGGGGAACATGTGGCGCGAGGCGTCGAATAGCAGAGCCACCAGATACACATTGCGCTTCGATTCTTTGATGCGGGCATCAAATTGCTTGCGGTGGTAGCTGATCGAGATCAAATGAACCATGGTTTTCTCAGCCAGGAAAATCAAGCTGCAGACGAAGAGGGCAAACAGGATGTTCTTGATGGATTTCTCCCAGGATTTGGTAGAGGTATCGCCCTTGGCTTTCTGGTGGGGATTTTGCGTCATGACCTGGAGGAAGTTAGTGGATGGCACGTATTATGGAATCAGACTAGACTTACAGGCAAAAAGGTGACCAAGCACACCACGCACCACAGCACGGTTGCAATTGGCATTTCCAGTTTGCGTAGAATAAGAGCATATTTGCGAGTTCCTGAACTCACAAACCCGATAAGGGTCTGAAAGATGTACGGCAAGAGTTTAGCCGCAAGTTTACACAACCACAGACTGATCCAAACGATCTCAATCCAGAACCAGAACCACGGCAGTGTGACTCCGCCGATAGTCGCGTCCTGCGCGACCGTTGCTCCCACGATAATTGGGATGGCAAGGAGAATTGCGAGCGGGGCCACGTAGATGAAGTAGCGCGTGAGAACCGAGTAATTAAGGATGGCCTGGTAGAAGCGGCCCATGCGAGTGACAGTGCCATCCTCGGGGTCTTCTAGGGAACGTCCGGTGCCTTCGTCGATGCGTCTGCGCATGCCAGGATTTGGCGCGACCAACCCTTCCTTCTCGCCGTCAATGCCTTTGTCATCGCCGGGTGGTTGATACGGATTCGGCGATCCTCCCACATTACTACTTGTCTTTCGAGCGCCGGTCTGATTCCGACTGGGAACTGGGTTCAAGGGGATGTCAATAGTGACATCGTTGGGATTCATCATATTGTCCGGGGCCATGTCGGGAAGCTGCTGGAAGCGATGAGCCGACAGCCGCTTCTCCGTGATACCAGGTCTGCCGGACATGAATTTTGAAAAAGGCATGGGGAATGAATTAGGGAAAGAGACGGTCTAAAAAGTAAGGCCAGAAGCTGCCCTGCAGCTCCAATTAGCGAGCGATGTCGCAATTGGTCGGCTTAACTTCCAGGGACGTAAGATCGCTTTGCACAGTCCAGGCAGGATCTGACAATCACTGGGTGAATGAGTGTTGGAGTCCACTGGTTCGTGTGGAGAGCGGGTGGGTCGAGCGAAAGTAAAACCGCATGGACTGGACCAGGACTTGAGACGTTAGTTGGTGAATTAGAGCGGCAGCGAACGGACGTATATTTTTTTGTCAAAGGATCGGGAATAGGTGGAAACGAGAAAGAGAAAAAGAAAAAGAAACGAGAGGGACAGGCATCGGAAATGAAATGCGTAGAACGCTGTCAAGGGGGGACAGGCCGAAGGCCCGATGAAGGAGAGAAACAACGACAAGCCAGGCGAAGGAATGTCAAAGACGCGAGTGTCAGAAAGCCAGAGGGAAAATCGAGGGGAGCAACCCACGCGAGCATGTTTCAGTCGGGCTGAAGTCACTGGCGTGCAATAATGGAGTCATCCTCTTTTTTGGGGGCTGGCCTGGTTGGAATCCGCCGATCATTCCCCGGGCCCATAGTTGCTGTCGGACTGGCGACTGCTGGTGGTGCCTCTGTTCGTCGCGATGATATAATAGGGAACACTATAGGCCTCTCTAAGCCCTATCAGCGTCCCTGAAGGCGATCGATCTGAATTCTGAAGGGGAGAGACAGCCCCCACTGGTGTAAAATTTAGTTCATGGCACTAGTTTTGAGTTGGGAAGTTGAATTATTGCGTGAAGTGAGTACGTAGAATACTAGAATGATTACTAGTCAGGGTGGCGGTCACGTTACGAGGAACGTCACACAAGCCATACCGGCAAAGCCCTATTGCCTACTTTCGGCCAGTCTAGGGCATTTCTCTGCTTCTCCCTCCCTCTCTCCCTCTCTTTCTCTCTCCTTCCCTATCGCACTTTCCACGGCCCGCGACCGTTGGAACCAGTCAATCCTTTCAGGGGGTTCCAGCCAGTTTCTTGTCTTCCTTTCAACTTGGCTAATCATTTCCCTGGTTACAACCGAACCAGTTCCCTACATTTCATTCAGGCACAGAAACTAACCAAATTATCGGGGTTGTGGTTCTGATTATGTGGCTGACTTCTAGTGCACTTACTTTGTAATAAATCGGTCGCTTACTATACCCCTTCAAGCATTGTCTTTTTTTTTTCCCATAAAAGTGAACCTTGTAAGGTTGTTAGTTTGTAAGGCTGATTTGCCGTTCAGTGCCACTCTTCGCCCCTGAAATCTGCTGCAATCAATCTTACTGAAACCATGTATGCGCACCTGTCAGCCCGTCAGACGGCTGCCCCTGGAACTAGTCAATATTGTGATTAGTGCGTGGGATTTGAGGCGTTAGTCTTCGGCCGCCTTGTGTGGTATGATAAGATGTAGAGTCGGAATAGCACACTCTCGGCTCCACATTACTTGGACCACCACAACATTTTGTATAGTGTATCGCATATTGCAGTAAAGGCGGATAATTGAAAGCACGCAGTGAAGATCTATCCGCGGGAGATCGGAGTTTTCACATCGGACAGCCCGTTGCAGTATCACGCATCCTTACACTGGTACCGGAGCAAAGATGACAGGTCACTCCGTCGGCTGTTTCAGAATGGCTTCTAGACCGTTTTAGTCCCTCGGCCAGCCCGTCTCAACCTCTCGCACACTGTGGCTAGTCCATCAGAGCTGAGGGGCGACAAAATTAATTGGATTACTAGGCTGTGTTGCCGATTGCGTTTTCAACGTCCACAATCAAAGTTAAGACGAGTCTGTTCCTGAGCCTTGAACTTTGTTTGAGAAGTTTTAACTTTTTGCATGCGTTCATTGCCACTACGGGATAACCCCAATACTCTGAGCGAAGGAAGATAGTGAGAAAAGAATAGTATTGCTACATGGGCTGAAATTAACTGAAATCCTAATGAAATCAAGGTACTTATAATGGAACTGTCAGGAATATTGGACGAACATCATGCACTTAGAAATGTATTAGATCTGAGTACAGATGCCCACTCTAGTGGTGCTTTTCCGATAGGTGTAGTACCATCGTATTCTATAGACATCTTTCATCACATCAGCCATCATTCGACCAATGACAGAGTTCGCGATCTTCATATTACCCTCAAGGAAGATGAAAATAACGAAAGGATGCCTTTCTTGGCTGTTCACTACTCAGAGGTTTCGCAGACCATGAAATTGCTTTAGTCAGGTTAGACCATATTAGACATTATGTAGAAACATCAAGGATATGAATGCCAACGCCTCTTGCATGGAGTGCTACACCATTCCTTCGGCTTGTTCAAGATCAGGAATAGATGCGCTCAAGAGCTACACAGCCAGCTAGTTTAAATCAAGAGGACCTTGCATCAGCCTTTTTGCCATGCCATACACCTGTTTTACGGTTATCACTGGCCCTCTTCACAGCTGGTAATCCCCAGGTCACCATCCAGTCTGAGCTCAGTACATCCGTCGCTGTTGCTCGCTTCTCAGGTTTCATTGCCAGCATTGAGCGAAGCATGCTTAGAATGGCTACCTGCTCCTCTTTGGCGAACGAAGACATATTATCCCTCTGTCGTGCGGCCTGTACGTCCTTCTCGAAACTCTGCTCAAGAGATGGGTAAACAAACCGATCTTTCTTAGGCCTTCCGATCCCTTCAAAATACTCAAGGCGTTTCTCCCATGTATTCCACCATTCAGGCGGAATCTCTCCAATGACATCTACTTGTTGAGAGGCTATGTCATGTCGAGTGGCAAGTGTGGCATCAAACAACCATCGCAACCCAAATATGGAATACATTACACATGCAAGACTCCAAATGTCCGAGGGAAATGAAAGAGGCTTGTCAGGTTCAAAGTAAGCTTCAGGCGGTATGACTGGAAGCGGCGAGGGACAGTCCTGCCCACGTCGCCGCTGCTCAGGGTCGGAAGGAGAGAAGCTCTCGCCAAAATCGCTAAGAAGAAGCTGGGCCTCATCTGGCGGAATGTCGACTGCTCGTTTTCCTAACCAGACCGGCATTGTCCCACAAGCAGGAACGCCAGGAGGGAGAGGCTGTCCGTCTAGTCGCACAACTGGTTCCGTATAGGGCTCACCGAACTGCTCATAGAATTCCTGGACTGAGAGCTTGTCAAGGCTAGTAGGTAGGTGTATCAGGATGTTTCCAAGATGAATATCTGTTATGGTTTTAGTGGTATTTTTATGGCATTGCCCTTCTCTCATAAACACGAAAGCATTCGGGATGAGTATATCCTCACTTACCTCCATGAACATAACCTTGAACATGAACAAATGCAACAGCTAGAGCAAGTTCGGCAGCTAAAACACGAGCCGTTTCTAGTTGAAAGTAGCAACAGAATGATGCTGCAGATACACTGCTCTGAGCGGGTGCTGTGACAATGCATTCATGATGCCCATTTGGGCCCTTAATTTCGAATTCGTCCAGGAGGACGGGAATCAAGGGACGCCCGTTTGTATGTGCCGGCCAGCGATTCATGAGCATACGCAATGTCTTGGCTTCATGAGCGGAGGAATCTCCAGTGCTTACCTTGACCGCCACGTAGGCTGCCTTTTGCTCGTCTCGTGACAGCCAAATTGTAGAAAAGGTCCCATGGCCCAGTTTGTGAATCACTCGGTACCGGCTCTTCAGCACATCTCCCACGCATATTGGATGATACCCCCCTATTCTGTACCTTTCTAGCATTTCCACTTCCTCGATAAGTTGATATTGAAAGGCGTGAGTGTCATTGGTTGTAGAAGTCATGGCGGTTCGGATGGTCACATTTAGGCGTCGAGGCGACTGTAAATACCCACGGAAAACAGAGCGACCGGAGGAAAAAGTAGCTTCACAGCAAGAATAACACAAGCCGCTCATTAAGTGACCAGGCCGTCTCATAATGATTAAGCCGGATGTAGATGTTGTCGAGCCGGGTTGTTCGTGAAGTTCAGAACTTCGTTCGTGATGACGTCCGAGATGAAGCACAATGCTGTCACTGTCAAGGGTCATGTGACCCGCATGTGCGTATAAAGGATATGTCCTATCAGATCTATGAGCATGTACCGTATATATGTGGTAGAACTGGAGCTTGCAGCTTGACTTTGATCTATAGCCTTGTGGTTTATTCTACGGCAGATCCCGCAACAGATCAAAAGGCCTAGGGATTTAGCGGTCTGGCTTAGGAGGAGTCATGGAATTAGTCCACGCTATGGCTCCGTTTGTGATGTGGCGTTGAAAAGCAGCAGAAATGTAGTGAAGTATTTCAGTGAATCACACAGTGCTGAAGCTACATGTGTTGTCATCATTCACTAAGTTTGTTTGGGAGCACAAACTCATTGCCAGCCCATGAACACCCAGACAGACCTACCAAACTGATTTTGTCAAAGTAGTTGCCATTTCCCTGACTCAATAATCATAGAGTTCTCGCATCCACCCGACTGACGGATCTCTACGGCTCATTCTGAAAATGTCGACAGTGAACATGGTCAGGTACTTCTTTTACAAAGGCTGCCTTCCGGATACTCAGCAGAGGCTCCAAGAACTAGTCGCAGTAGCCTATCAAACTGCAAGAGATAGAAAGCCCTTCCCAAAGGCCATTCTAATCAGGTACTGTTCATGTTTATCCCGTTACGTTTGACTTGCAAATCTAAATGACTACACAGATCTGTAGTCCATGCTACAACCAACATCATGGGACGCCCTCAGAAGGACCCCCTCGGACCACATGTGACGCTTTGCTACAAGGACGAAGATCAACTGACTAAAGGAACTCATGTTGCTTGTCATGGCTACGTGGAAGGGCCAAACAGGTTGATATTCGTTAGATCCACGCATGCTGGAGAGAAAGTGGACACTTGGGTGAAGAGTAGTGGAGATATTGTCTAGCCACCTGAGGAAGAGCTTGACGAAGCCCCTGAGATTGGCTATGGACACTTTCCGGAACCAGCAGAAACAGATTGCACAGGCGTCAATACTTGAATCCGTCGGGGTTTTGGTGAGAAGAAAGAGAAGTTTCTATGGAATACAGTGATCTACGAGAGCTAGATATGTGACATCACAACCGACCTCGAGTAAATACGCATACCGTCAGCCTTGTTGAGCGAAAATTCTGCATCTGCTGGGGTTACCTTCATAAACTGGATGAAAGCATAGAGGGATAGGAAATATTGGGACATCCAGACTCTTATCGAAAATCTTTGATGCTGGGTACAAGAATCTGTGAAACCTATGCTTCCCCCTCCCATACCTCTGATAATGATCCGAATCTCGTGTTTACCGTGCAAAGTTTCTTAGATGATGAAGCTCATTTTAACGTTGCTGTACTCAATGAGACCGCGCAGGGTCGACTGCAGTCAATGGAATTTCACTGTATTACCCCTGATGGGAACTTCTACTACTAAAATCCGTCGAAGAGTGGCTGTTAACGCATCCTTATAAAAAGCCTAGTGTTATCCGATGGACTGACCAAGTAGGAAGTGTATCTAAATTGATCCTGTTTTCGGGTAGCTTCATTTAGCTTAGTGCAGTCACAGAGTATATCTCATAAAAAGTGTAGAATGACCGCATTGAGCAGCTATAAGATCATCGTAACGGCGTCTTAGGATGCACGCCGACTAACATTTTCAACGTGCTCAGACCTGGGCCATATGGCTCGCCTTTTTGATTGCCTCCTCTTTTCCCCGGTTAAATCATCAGTTATTTTATCCGACGCAGTTTAGTTTCCAATGGGTCCCATTATGGTAGTAGTATCAGCTGGCTTCATCCTCGGTGGTTAGGCCGCTTCAGCTGGGATTCTCTGGCGGACGGCAATGTGCTGACCTGAAAGGTGCCAGCCAGTGCCATGCCCTTGACAACAAATTGTTTCCCAAAGATACACTACTGCCTTTAGTGTCAATGAAATGAGATTCAACGACACTGCGCGTTCAAATCAGCACACAGGAGCAACGTTTGGTGGACAGAAGCCGGATAGGGACGACCCGTGGGTGAAGAGAACAAGCGGACAACCTATCTTGGGGCGCACGGCCCACAGGAGTCCAGTTTCGGGGCTTGTTGTCTTGCAATATATTTTCGAAATTGCCAACTGTTCATTGGATTCGGAGAATATCTCAGTCTTTCCCGGGACGGGCTAAGTCTGGCGGCCCGGTCCTGCATCGTCTTCTTGTAGCTCACTGCCTAAAGAAGATGGGAAGTGGACAGACGACGGGATAATCTTCCAGAGGTGCCAATTAGCAAGAATACCTCTGATCGTGGCTGGCTGTCCGAGCGTTTTCCCTCCACCAGACGGGCGGGGAAGAGAAGATGGACCCGCAACGGCGCCACAGATGGTGCGTACGCTATCTACGAGTTGCAGATGCTCTGCATTAGCGACTCAGGTTGTACCCCTCTGGCACGGTAGACTGATTCAACCAGTCGACGGAGACTCTGGGGGTGCCCATCATTTATAGCCCTGCTCGATTCTGCTCTCAATTCTGTGTCCTGGGTGCAATTCTGACCTTGAAATCGACCCTAACCACCACTAACCCTCCCCTCAACCACCACCATGTTTGTATACGCATGGCTAGGCATAGCTCTTCTCACTTACCATGCTTTACGCAGCGTATATAGGCTGTGTTTTCATCCGCTTCGCAAAATTCCGGGCCCGAAGCTAGCAGCTATCACCTACGGTTACGAGTTCTACTACAATGTTATCAAGGGTGGCAAGTTCGTGTGGGAAATCGAACGCATGCATAAGATATATGGTACGTCCTACTACTTTGTTCCAGCTATTCTTCCCCTCATGACCATCTCTTTAATCAGGCCCGGTCATTCGCATCAACCCTGATGTAGTCCACATCAACGATCCAGATTACTACGAGGAAATCTATACTTCCCGTGCTCGCCGGCGAGAGAAAGACCCTGTTCAAATAGCCCAGTTCGACATCGACGGCGCAGCCTTCTCGAGTATCACACCTGAAATACATCGTCAACGACGCGCCCCTCTCGATAAATTTTTCTCGAAACAAGCCATCTCCAATATCGAGTATCTCATCCACGACAGCCTAGACAAAATCATCAAAGCCTACAAGGAGGCGTACCAGAGCAAAAGTGTAGTGAGCTTGGACGCTGGGTTTGCAGGCTTGACTGCGGACATCATCCACCAGTATGCCTTTGGGTTCAACCCGGGCAACCTAGACGCGGAGGGATTCAACGAAAGCGTACGAGATGCCGCCAACGCGGTCTTGCAAGGGATGCACTTACTCAATTTCTTTCCCTTCATCAAAGTGGTCTTTGGCCTGCTGCCGCACGGGTTGCTGCGCCTGATCAGTGAGCCAGCAGTGAAATTAGCGAAGGAAAAAGAGGATTTGTATGCGCGAAGCGCGGCAGCGATAGAGAGAAATCAGATTCCCGTGAAGGACGATGAAAAGGTCAGTAATAGCAAAGGAGCGATCCTAGATGCTATTGCTGGGCCTCGTATGCCTGCACATACGCGGACGCCTAAACGACTCATGGAGGAGGGGCTTTCTCTGGCTATTGCGGGAACAGAAACCACAGCGCGGGCGCTCTCTGTCGGGACCTATCACTTGCTTACAAGAGAGGATGTTCGGCTCAAGTTGAAAGAAGAATTGAAGACCGTTATGCCTACACCTGATATGCGGGTCAGTCGCACGGAGCTGGAGAAGCTGCCTTATCTGGTGAGTAACATACTCATTTTCGAGTTCAATTATCCACACCAGATACTAAGCTTTGCGACACGTAGTCTGGTGTCATCAACGAATCCATGCGTCTTGCAACAGGTGTATCGTCTAGAATGACCAGAGTAGCTCCAACAGAGGCACTGATTTATAAGGAACATGTCATTCCTCCTGGTGTACGTATCGTCTTTCCCATTACTGTTGACGTCAGTCTACTAAAACCTCTACACCAACAGAGTCTATTCAGCTCATCCAACGTCTTCATCCTCATGAACCCCAACATCTTCCCCAATCCCCACGATTTCGATCCGGAACGTTGGATTCGAGCTGCTGAAAAGGGGGAGCGATTAGACCGGTATCTGGTCAACTTTTCCAAGGGTGCTCGGATTTGCCTTGGCATGCAGTAAGTTAACATGTCTACAGATGAACGGATCCAATGATTACTAATTCAATATATAGACTGGCTATTGCCGAGCTTTTCATAGTTGTCGCTTCTCTTATGCGCCAATTTGATATGGAGCTGGTCGACACTCCCAAGGAGACCATTGAATTCGCGCGAGACTATGGGGCGCCATATCCTGAGAAGGGCAATTTGTCCATCAAAGCGAGAATTACGGGGTTGGCTCAGGAGTATGTAGGCCCGGCTAAGTTTAAGCAGAGTGTTCACTCAGCTCTTGGGAATCATGGTATCTCCGATTAGATAGTCTAGGCAGATGAAGGGGTAGCGAATTGTCATGATGGATGTGATAGTTATGTCAGCTCTTGTTCATACAAAAGTAACGAAACATATACTACCTCTCCCGTCAGCACATCTACTGCATGTGGATACCTCTGGATGTAAATCCCTGGTCGCTGGTTGATGTCAATCTATAGTATGGCTGGCGGTACCCAGATTTAGTCCCACAGAATGAAGTACCACGATCTAGCACATGGCATTCCAATACAATACACAAGAAATAGTACCTTGCTTATCAGAATTACTGTCTGTTGTTGAGGGTCGTACATAGCTCTGCAAGGGGATCGTTGTCGGCTGAACATGGTAGAACGCATTAGTTGCAATGCATTGCCTGCGAAGTGGAATTTCCGTAGCAGCACTAGGGGCTCCCTGCAGTAACATGATAATGCAGCCATCAGGCCAAAGGAACTTCGGACAATAAAACTTCTGAAGGGCATGTACCAACTATGTGTGCGCAGTTGCACATGTCTTTCATGTTCATCACTCACCGAACAGGAGACAGTCATAGAATCTATAAGGTAAGGGATTAGTGTGATCTGACTTTTCGGCTATGCAAGAGTATCTCAAAGGAAACCATGGACTTCCGCGAACATGATGTCTAGTATGCATGATTTGCGAATCTTTCACCATAATTGGAAGAGTAGTAAATCAGACACTCGGATAGCGTTACACAGATGCACAAGTAGATTCCGTTGGTACGGACATCTGAACTCCCCACCGCTGCTTGAATCCTATTCATGACACTGATAATTATGCGTGGTGATTTTGTTAACCTGTGCATCCCGTCATGTGCCCTCCACTTTCTAGCGTGCTATTTAACCCTATAAAGAAGGGGTCCATGACCTTGTCATGATTATATCGGCGGCTATGACCTAATAGTTCGCTTGAGCACCTATATCGACCAAGAGACCTCCTTCTTGAATCTCCGTATTTTACCTTTGAACTTACGTTTTTATACCCCCTCGACAGCTAAGAACAGACATGAGTGTGCACCAAGACGACCAATCGATTGACAACGACGAGGTCGACCGTATCGCCATCGCCCCAAATGCCCCCGACCAAGTACCACGTCTGATATCAGAGATCAACACTCATGCTCAGGCCTTTATGTCGGGGCATTCTAGTGTGCGAGCTCAATTGGCAGACGCTGCGGAGTCGCTGTTGGCTGCACTCGAAACTCCACGAGAAACGATCCATCGGCAGAACTTTCGGAACGTAAGTTCTCCTTTGTACTATCCGTGAAGGAGAGAGGGGAAGGAAACAATCATTCACCATTCTAATAGCCCACTGGATGGGCTGCCATCAATATTGCCATCGACCTGGGCATATTTAGCCTGCTAGTTGAGACCAAGCGGCCCAAGTCGATCCCGGAACTGGCCAGTGCTACCGGAGCGGACCCTGTCCTGCTGGGTGAGTGGACATAGCTTCTAGCTACTCTTTTAATTAAGAGTAACTCTCCTACAGGGCGTATTATGAGGCATCTGGGGGCTATCCACGCCGTCGTTGAAACAAAACGTGGCGAATACACTACTAATGGGTTTTCCTTCACACTCGCCCACAGGAAATATTCTGACTCTATTCTCGCAGCGTTGGTCCTCTTCAATTTCATGATACTGTACTATTGTATACTAATATAAATAGCGCGGGCTCCATGTACCCCTCGATCAACGGTATACCTGAGTTTCTTCGCCAAACTAATTACCAAAATCCCTCCGACGGCCGTCACTGTCCCCTTCAAGTGGTCTATCGCACGACCGACTCCTTCTTTGAGTATCTCGCTCATAACCCAGTCATTAGCGCGCAATTCAACACTCTCATGGGAGTCCACCACCGGGGCCGTGCCAGCTGGATGGACCCAGGCTTCTACCCGGTCGATCAACTCATGTCTCCATTTCCGATAGGTGAGCATGACGTACTTCTGGTCGACGTTGGTGGTGGAAGAGGCTACGATCTCAGCGAGTTGCGTGCCAAGTGGCCGAACCTTCCTGGGAGGTTAATTCTTCAAGATCAGCTTGCGGTCCTGCCTGAGGCTACCGATCTACATCCGTCTATCGAACCCATGAGCCATGACTTTTTCACCGAGCAGCCAATTAAGGGTATGTCCCACCTTTTTCACTTTCTTGCTTTAACTCTATTGACCTCTAGATTATGCTTCCTCTTCTTTCCTTCTTTCTCTGTTCTGCCATCTCGTATGGCTGACCGAAGCTGACTGAGGCTGACTGCGAATATCCAGGAGCTCGCGCCTACTTCCTCCATTGCATCCTCCACGATTGGCCGGACAAAGACTGCCATCGGATTCTCGAACCCCTCAGAGCCGCCATGATCCCAGGGGTCAGTCGACTGTTAATCAACGATTACGTCATGCCTGACCAGGGTGCGCACTGGCAGGCAACATCGCTGGACATTAACATAATGTCGGTCTTGGCCAGTTTGGAGCGAACGGAATCGCAGTGGCGGCAGTTGTTGACCGAGGCGGGATTTCGCGTTGTTAATGTATGGACTGTTGATCGGTGGTCGGAGAGTTTGATTGAGTGTGAGGTAGTGGCTTCTTCGGCGAGTGAGACTGCCAAATACAGACTTTAGGGGAGGTGTCGTTCAATTGTTAGTTTGTTGGTGGTTTCATCGCATTGTTTCATCGCGTCTTGTTGTGTGTTGGTGGTGATATTATAACGAACTCAATCATTTTCTCTAGCTATCGGCTTCAAGATAAAGGGTATGACGTAGTCAAAGGAGTTATCTTGAGAATCATCCAAAGCAAGGGGGTCCATGTTATTAAGGGATAGAGGAATGGTGACATCGTGAGCAGCTGTGGTCGGCCATTGTTGGAAAGATTGAGATAGTGAATACCGACCCTTGCCAAAATGGCGATCCAGCGATCCTGTCAGGTTCAGCGGGTATGTCGCTGAGACCAGTAGATATGTGGGCTGCTTGAAGGAACTCTAGTATTCTGTATACAGCCCGTTTTGGAGGACCGGCCTTTTTTCTCACTTACTTTTACTGTTGGAGCTGCTGGGGCAACCTAGTGACCAACCTGTCGGCCTAAAGCCATCAAGTGACTAGGGGCATAGGGAAAAGAGTTATCTGGCTGTCAAAATACAATTCTTCTTATTATGGGCAGCCTTCAGCATAGTATTAAAATAAACAGGTTTTATCCGACACGCGGAACAACGGCATTGTAGTAGTATGGATGACATCTCTCGTGAAAACCAGTATAGACTGTATAACAATAGTATTCGATCATCAAAGTGTCAATCAGATCTTGTAAAGGACTCCTGTATAATGTCTTGCGGCGTAAAAGTCAGTCATAGCTGAATGGAACTCGGAATAACGGATATAGGGAATGGCTACAGATGCCCTTAGTACCCTGACTAATCTTGAGAATCAACAAATTTACGTGTCAGCTAAGCCAGATTATCCCACTTAATACAGAGTAGCTCACGAAGGATCTGAAAAGCTCCTAAAATCAGAGGTCGAAGGCGAATAATATCATAAGAAGAGGCGGTGATCGTCTGACCCCCTGGGACTAAAATCTGACACTTGCGGGATCCTACTCCACCACGCGTCTTCTGCCTCCCGAATCCCGAGCCGCACTGGCCCATAAACCCACCCACCTGTTTACTTATTGTCCCCAATCGCCAGAGTTGCTGCCTACCGTTGGGAGATTTCTGCCTACCGCTGGAAGGGTTACCCCTGCTTACCAGTGGCACAGACTGCATTCCAACTAGAACCCAGCAAAATGGCACTGCCCCGGAAAGACCAGGTTCTCTCGTCCCGAGAGATTGAGGGTTTGATTGCTGCAGGACAATTCATTGTCATTGTCAATCAGAAAGTGTTACGTGTCGATTCATGGATCCCATACCATCCCGGGGGTCACAAAACCATCCAACACATGGTCGGCAAGGACGCAACCGATGAATTCACCGTGTAGGCACACGATCAATGATGTAGGGATGTAGCTCAAACTAACTTGTGGGGCAGATTCCACTCAGACGAGACCATCAAAATGGCCGATCGGTACCAGATCGGCCGGGTAGAGGGACGATGGCGGAATTTTGTGCCTCCCATCCAGGGTGGACAGTTCAGACCGTATCTGGACGACAAGGCACCTTCAGACACCAAGCAAAATGCTCCTACTACTTCTGCCACGGACCAAAGTGAGCCAACTGACAATGGAGATGGCCGCCTCAGTCCAATTCTTCAAGCAGCGACCGAGCTCAACACCAAAGAAGCAATGACCTTCCTAGACAGCCAAACTAAGGAAGAAATCAGCCTCACCCTAACCCGCTACCCATCCCTCGACGAAGCGACCCAAGGCGACATCATCAAAAAGTACCAACACCTCCATGACCAAATTCAAGCCGAAGGCCTCTACAACTGCAACTACATGGCCTACGCGAAAGAATTCGCACGCTGCTCGCTAATCTTCAGCACCATGCTCCTCTTCCTCCACTACGGCTGGTACTGCATCAGCGCCATCTTCCTCGGCTTCTTCTGGTCCCAACTCGTCTTCTCCGCCCACGACGCTGCTCACATTGCCATCACACACAACTTCACCATCGACAGCCTCATCGGCATGACAATCGCTGCCCCCATCGGCGGCCTCTCCCTAGGCTGGTGGAAACGCACCCACAACGTCCACCACATCGTAACCAACGCCCCCGAGCACGACCCAGACAACCAGCACCTCCCCTTCTTCGCCGTCAACCACCGCTTTCTGGGAAACCTCTTCTCCAGCTACCACGAGCGCCTCATGCCCTACACAAGAGCAGCCAGCCGTCTCGTCCCCTACCAAGCCTACCTCTATTACCCCGTCCTCATGTTCGGCCGCTTCAACCTCTACGTCCAATCCTGGATCTTCCTCATCCAAGGCCAAGGTCCCCGCAAAGGCCCAGCCTGGTGGCACCGCCACTTTGAAATCGTCGGCAATCTGCTTTTCTGGCTTTGGTTCGGCTACGGCCTCGTATACCGCTCCATCCCAACGGCCTGGGACCGATTCCTCTTCGTCATGATAAGCCACATGGTCACCATGCCGCTGCATGTGCAATTCACCCTCTCCCATTTTGCCATGTCAACGATGGATCTGGGACCCGGTGAATCCTTCGCCCAGCGCATGCTCCGCACAACCATGGACATCGACTGTCCCGAGTGGTTGGATTTCATCCACGGCGGGCTGCAGTTCCAGGCAATTCATCATCTGTTCCCTCGGGTACCAAGACATAACCTGCGGAGGACGCAGAAGCTCGTGCTGGAGTTTTGTCGGGATGTGGGCATCCCGTACGCGCTGTATGGGTTCGTAGATGGGAATCAGAAGGTTGTGGGCAGTTTAGCGGAGGTTAGCCGTCAGGCTGCGATCTTGGCAAAGTGCCAGAGGACGATAGCGGAACGGGGGGATTTGTTGTATGGGAGGTGAGGTGAGGTGTGCGTGGACGGACTGTCTAGGCTGTGGAGATTGTAGAATAGAATTCGGTTTTATCTCACAGTTTCCACGAGCAAAATAGAAAATGAACTGTTGTTTACGGTGAAAATTCTGCGGCTATTTGGTACACTATACAAGGATTACGATCCCTCGCTCGGCCCTAACGCCGAGTCCGAGGGGGTCCAGATCACGCGGGTGTCGCGTCTAGTGGCCTGCCTCCGAACGGACAAAACCAGGCACACTAGGTAGACGTAGGCAGCCTTAAGACGATTGATACGTAGAAGGCCCACTGGCATCCGATCAATCAAATCCTCAAACCCCAACCAGCAATGAATACAGCATAATCCATGAATCAGCACTCGACACGAGGAAATACCCCCCCATCATCATCATCATCATCATCATCATCATCACCCCATACGGAAATGATTCGATCATCGCCACCAACCTATCCCAATTTTCCCAAACAAGATAAATAAATTGATAAACAGATAAACAGATAGTCAAAACCTACTTACTACGTAGTGGTACCTTTACTCCGCACGATCAACACGGAAGTGCCACAGGGCAAGTCCAATTCGCAATCAAACTACCACTACCACTACTACTACCACTATCTATTAACTAGATAGGTGAACTATCATACGACCAGAAGAAAATTTAGCAATCTAACTTCAAGAAGCTAGGTTTGAAATGGCGGCAAAATTAATGACTAGATACTGTTTTGGAGGGTAAGGAATATTTCGTCAATCAGCTTGAACCTGTTTCGGATGGAGAGGAAAGATAGGTTAAACAAGAATAGTGAAAGGTAATTCATGGTGGAGAAGTATGTACAGAAAATTATCAGAGGGTCTGGGGGCGGTGTGGACAGTCTGGAAAGTCCAGCAAAGGGGAGAAAGAAAATGGAAAGGCGATGGAAAAAGTACGGAAACGAAGATAAGCTGGCTGGCTCGGCGATTATTCTGAAATGATTTCAAGAAGCGAAAAGCTTATAGGGTGGGACTTTAGCTAAATGAAGGAAGGAGCACAAATCTTGGATATCCTCGTAAATAGGAAGCATACACAGAACTGGGATACCCTCCCAAATAGGACATAAGCACAAATCCTGGATATCCTCCTAAATAGGACACAAGCACAAATCTTGGATATCCTCCCGAATAGGAAATAACAATCTACCAATGTCATTTGCTTAGGTGGGGGGCTGGGGATAAGAAAGGACTTTCCGAAGTAATTTAGGTAGACCAGGGAAAGTTCAAATCGGATTCAATTGGATCTAGGAAGACCTAGACAGAAATGATAGGATAGAGTAGGAATTAATAAAATTGCACAGGAGTCGATAGACATGAGCAATGACATAACCTACAGTTCCAAAATTCACTATCACGGGACATCTACGAAGGGCCGATGAGTAGATCAAAAATCCTCGTTGGCAGGACCCGACCGATAGGAGGTACATCCAGTTTACACCTGAAGTAGACAAGCAATTCAGAAAAGTACAAATGCCAATGACATAGATGTAAATGAATGCGATCCTCCCCCCCTGGCAGACATGAACTAGATCCGACGCGTTGGGCTAATGATCGCACGCACGGTTACCGCTGAGCGGAACAAGGCCCTGTGGAACCGGACAGTAGCAAACCTCTCCGACCGACCTGTCGATCAGCAAAAGCGAAGAGGGTGTGCTGAAACAGACAATCCTCCGGTACCGTTGCCAGACGACTCGGTCGCGCAATAAGTTAACCTTTCGACTACTGCAAGCAAGGCCCAGGCCAATCATAATCAAGGGGTTTTGTTGGTTGGCACAGAAGGAGCAATGATGTTTTGGGGCTGTAGCACTTCCTACAAGGATCAATTCCTGAATGAACACAACCCGACACGTTGATCTGCCGAAAAAGAAATTATGGGACCGACAGAATCTTCATTCTTGGCAAAGCTGAAGGTAAGCTAACTCAAGAAACGTCCATTGCTCAGGAACAATCTCGTGCCACGGCTGATTGACGGGCCATTCCGTCCAAGCTAAATCCGACCCCAGTACACCTTCGACGGATCCAGCTTTTCCCACTCACTCCCTCCTCTGGTGCTCCAGTGATCTGCAGTCATTCGCACTCAAGGTCAAAATATGAGCTGGATCGTAGATGCGTACTTTTGTTGTTCTAGCAGGCTGTTTTGCTTCCGGGTGTCGCTCAGCATTGTCTAGGCATAGATTTGAACTTGATGCCCTATTTCTTTACTTTTTCTACTTTTCTTTCTTGGATTCGCAATAATGTTATTGTTTACTTCTTCTTGTTCTTCTTTTCACTCAAGAATTGAAAAAATTAATAATAAAAGCAGAATTGCTTCGAAAGCACTTTTGAATAAGTTAAAGACTAATTGGCTACTGACTAATTGCCTGCCCCCCAACAAATAATATAATCGAAAAAAAAAAGACAAGGACAATGGGTCTGCATAATTTATTGCATATCCGGGGTTTTGCCGCACGACGGCAGAACTTGCATCCTGATGCGCTCTGCAGTAACACCGTACTAGGATTATCTCGAGAGACCTGGAAGGGGTTCCCCCTACTCACTTCCTCATTGAGACCTCTGCAGATGACTTTTTAAAGGCATTGATCAATTTCCTCTTTTCTAGTTATGCATATGTCTAAAGCAGCCACAGAGATATTTGTACGTAACTAGCGTAGGCAGACTGAATGATTCAATGACGCCTTTCGTCTCCTATCTTTGGTTTTGAGGCGGTACTGATATGTAATATACGAAAATATTACATGAACCTGACTCACAGGCTAGCATCATTCATCAATGAGGCGGAGCGTTTCCCATAGCGACATCTCCTAGAAAACTTTGCCAGCCGCCAGCCTTGCGGTGATAGGTAGATAGGGAGTAGTGCCGAAGCTTCCCGACGTCCCAACAGGACCGTAGCTCCATATCTTTCCAGAACCACATACGCAGTACCTGCTACCATTTTGCACAGGCCTGGATGCGAAACAGCCGAAGACAGGTCGGCATCTCTTGTTCTGGGGGTCGTGGCGAAAATGCCTTACGATAGTCTAAAAGCCGCGTAAACTTTTAGAGTGACCATTGGCAGAGCCATGCATGTAGATAGAATTGCCATTTTAAAACTGGTCTTCCCAAGTACAGATAACCCTCAAGGCTCTCCGATCTTGGTGAATCAATATAGGTAACATAAGAGTTCTACGTAACATCAGGAGTTGTCTCCTTCACTAGATAGAAGAATGGAAACTGGAGCGACCGTAACTCATTAGCGGAAAGGGAATAAGACCCGCCTCCATGCTGATAAAAAAATTTTAAGGCTTAATAGATATAGCAGATGGTTTTAGTGCCTCCGAAAAGTCAATCATCTCATTGCCGCCAGGTATCACCATACCAATCCCGGCGGCGCTTTGGGCACGAGGCAGGGTGGGACCAAGCCAACTGAGCCCAGTGTTCGGTCTGGCGGTATACTCTGTGCCTGAGCTAGCTCGTCCTCAGAGGTCATCATTTCGGGTGCGAGACACGCACGGGCGCTAAGTGTGTCATCCCGACATGTACCATGTAAGAAAAAAGACATGCGTGAGCTGTAGGGTTGTGGAGATTGCCCACCCCCAACCCACCGTCTGCGCATTCCTATCAAGCCCTCTAGACCAGATATCGGATTCGGGTTATGCATAATGGGGAGACTTAGCTGTATTCCGCGGCCATGACTCTTTCCATCGGGCTAGAATTCTACACCTCATGACCTATGCGAAAGTTATATAAAGGGCCAATGTCCATCAATGACTGCTTCCTTCCATCATCCGGATCATTCATCGTCCCATGATGAGTTCTCTCGCATTTCATGTTTCTTTCACGTTCTCCGTACGCACCTCGCCAAACCGGTCTGTGCGATCGAGTGAAGAACCTGGCAACTTTGTGACCATGTTCTTGACTATTATCATCTTCGCCGATCCGATGAGAAGAATTCAACCACGGATTAGTGTTCTTCATCGACTTCACAGAGGTAGATATTCTTTCCCAACTTTTAAGCCACTGGGGGTTGACGTGATGCAAGGACCTCATCGGGGTGACTATCCTGATATCATGGATGAGGATGTTCGAGAGTAGATATACATGAGTGAGTGAGCCCGACCGATACAATGTAGGCAAACTTCATAGTGATGCCCCAGTGTCTTAGTTCTGCACCCACGGCCATGATATGTTATCGGGGCCGCCACTATCTGGACTGGTCTCAGTGGGGCTTCTGTGTTTGTCGATATTTTGGCCAGACTGATATGTGTTGAAGCGATGTATGGATGTTGTTGTATACTTTCAGAGAAACGCCACTCAAAATCAACAGCGTAAATGTATATTAGTATTTTTGTTTTTGGTGATGGATCTCAAGATATATTAAAGATAGGGCTAGCGAGTAAATAGGATAATTGTAGACGGTCAGTGGGACATGGTTTATCCTATGGAATACATGAGAAGCTAAAAGTCAGACTGGAAACATTACTATTGTTGACCATTGATCTTTTACTAATTGATACTGTATATAGAGCACTTGCTCATCACGATAACTAACTAAAGGTTTAGGCGTGTCTTGAACTCGTTCATGCAGTGCTTACTATCACAGCTCTACTCGGAGGCATGTGTAATTTACTCACTTCTACCATTGACCTCCGTTGTTGCTCTTGCTATTTCACTCATTTTACGGGTTTAATGCGTAAATGATCCTTGAATATTTCCTCTTCCTCTATTACGTACGCCTATTTTGCAGCAGTGTTCTACATGTAGTATTCTTGTATTATGAATGACTAGCTATAAGAAGAACGGAAGAGGTCCTCTACTGTTAGTAGATTTAGCTATACTATACGTGTGGTAGAATTATGCTGAACAGGAAGGTGCATAAGAATCATGTGACATATTTTCGCCCCCTATATTGCCCTCTATTGCCCTCTATTGCCTCCTATTACCTCCTATTACCCCATATTGCCTCATATTACCCATATTGCCCATATTGCCCATATTGCCCCATATTTCCCATGTTTCCCATGTTTCCCATGTTTCCCATGTTTCCCATGTTTCCCATGTTTCCCTTGTTTCCCTTGTTTCCCTTGTTTCTTCCG